AGTTCCCTGCCTGTGGCCTGGGAAAGCAGTTGAGGACGGCCAAAAGCTTTGGGATCCTGCACCTGTGTAAGAGACCTGGAGGAAGTTCCTGACTCCTGGCTCTGGATGAGCTCAGCACTAGTCACTGCAGTCACTTGGGGAGTGAATCATTGGATAGAAGATCTTCCTCTCTGTCTCTCCTCCTCTCTGTATATCTGGCTTTGCAATAAAAATAAATAAATCTTTAAATATATATATATATATTTTTTAAAAGATCTTTTTCTCTGTAAATCTGCCTTCCCAATAAAAACAAATAAATCATTTAAATAAATAAAACTTCAAAAATAATGGAATCCATAGGCTGGGAGAGTGCTCATTTGGTCAGGGCACCTGACTCACACTTGAATTGTTTAGTGTTTGTGGTCCCAGCTGTCAGGTCATCAGTGCAGGCATGCTGGGCCACAGTACCCACAAATGACCCTGTCCTCCTCCTGCCCTCTGGCCTCCATGTGGCCATGGGATGTGGACTCCTGTGTGCCTCCCAGGATGCTCAGGCCATGAACTTCTAGCCCAATCCATTTTAAAATCTTTTTTTTTTTTTTGGCATCTCTCACTGGGGTCAGCCATGACCCTGCAGACCCACTATGTGTGCAGTGGGAGGTGTGGAGGTGCCACACCCTGGTTCAGCAACCATCAGGACTGGTGTTGACAAATGGGCTGCCTCGGATGCCCTGTGACAAGACGCCTGGCTGAAGGTCATTCTGTGACCTAGTTAACTGTAGTGACACAGGGCAGTCACACGCACAGGCAACACAATAGACTCTGAGAGAAAGGGCCAGAGGGAGGGCCTGACAGGCAGCAGGTGTGTCTTCCCAGTGAATAGAGACCTTAAGGCCAGGCCATCAAGACCTCAGCCAGCTGGTGGGGACAGTGCTGGTGTGCACACAAGGAAAAGCATGGACCACAAGGATCTCATGGACGTGGTGAGCAGTCACCATGTCACCTTGGCTACCACATGCCTCAGTTCCCTCTGCTAGGAGCAGGATCACGGCCCCAACGAGGAGATGGGAAGGTGTAGGGCCAATAGTTGGCGGAGAGCAGTAAGCCTCAGTGGGGCCTCACTGTCACCAGACTCTATATGGGGACAGAAGGGACAGTTGTCCTTGTGGGAGGGGTTATCTTGGCTGGGATGTGGCTGGCATGGAATCAGGTACTTCCGTCATTAGCACCTGTTCCCCCTGGGTGCACTAGCAGGAAGCTGGATGGGAAGTGGAGGCACTGCCATGTAGGATGTAGAATCTCAAGAAGGAACTTCAGTCACTGCGCCACCAGCACCCCACCCCGCCCGCACCCACCAGGAAGTCACACTTTGATGAAACATCTATTCCATATCAGGAGTATAAGCCAGGAGAGCAGTAATTCCTACTGTCATGGAATTTCTAGTCTACAAAACCAAATAAACCTACATATCAGAAACCTCAAAAATAAAATCCCAAGGGCCTGAAGCGATGGCTCAGCGGCTAACTCCTTGCCTTGAATGCGCCCGGGATCCCATATGGCCACCGGTTCTAATCCCGGCAGCTCCACTTCCCATCCAGCAACCTGCTTGTGGCCTGGGAAAGCAGTCAAGGACGACCCAAAGCTTTGGGACCTTGCACACGCATGGGAGACCCGGAAGAGATTCCTGGCTGCTGGCTTCGGACTGGCTCAGCTTTGGCCATTGTGGCTGCTTGGGGAGTGAACCATTGGACAGAAGATCTTCCTCTCTGCCTCTCCTCCTCTCTGTATATCTGCCTTTCCAATAAAAATAAATCTTTTTAAAAAATAAAATTCTAAGTGAAACAGATAAAGTATACAGTTATACACAGAATGTTCCCACTTACTAGAAAAAAAAAAATTTAGATTTGTTTTCACTTGAAAGGCAAATTTACAGAAAGATCCTCCATCCACTGTTTTACTCCCAAGATTGTAACAGCCAGAGCTAAGTGAATCCGAAACCAGGAGCCAGGAGCCTCTTCCAGATTTCCCACATAGGCGCAGGATCCCAATCTTTAGGCCATCCTCTGCTACTTTCCCAGGCCACAAGTGGGGGCAGCGGGAGGGGAAGTAGAGCAGCTGGGACACAAACCAGTGTCTATGTGTGGGGTTCTGTCACTACAGGAAGAACTTACCCTGTGATGCCATGGTGCTGGCTCCTATTTACTAGAAGCAGGTGGCTTATCACGGTGGTCCCGTCTGTGGTGCCAGCATCCCATTTAGGCACGAATTTGGATCCTGACTACTGCACCTCCAATCCAGCTCCTAGTTTGTGGTTTGGGAAAACAGCAGAGGATGGTCTACATGCTTGGGACCCTGTACCCATGTGGGCGATCTGCAAGAAGCTCTTGACTTCCAGCCTCCAACCGGTCTAGCTGAAGCTGTTGTAGTCATCTGGGGAGTGAACCAACAGACAGAAGATCTCTCTCTCTCTCCTTCTAGGTCTCTAACTCTGACAGTAAAATAAAATGAAGTGAAATCAAATAAATAAATCTTAAGAAAAAAATCCTGGCACACAGTAGTACTTCAATGATCACATGTCACCTTTGTCTCAGGAATACATGCAAAATATGCGGGCCCTGGGTGTGGAACCCCTGGCTTGGTCCAGACAGCACGTCCCACTCCTGCCCGGATAGCTCTATGCCTCAGTTTGCTCCTCTGTCCAGTGGGCACGGGAAAGGGAAGGGCAGGGTTTGTTTCCTTTGGTTGAAAGGAGGTGAACTGGGCCTGGCGGCATGGCCTAGCAGCTAAAGTCCTCGCCTTGCATGTGCCCCGGGATCCCATATGGGCACCAGTTCTAATCCCAGCAGCTCCACTTCCCATCCAGCTCCCTGCTTGTGGCCTGGGAAAGCAGTTGAGGACGGTCCAAAGCTTTGGGACCCTGCACCCGTGTCCTGCACATAGCACCCAGAGTGACCCAGAAGGCAAACTGGGGTATGGAGCCCTTTGCCAGTGTTCTCTGGGGCCTTTTCCTTACTCTGTATAGGCCCGGATGGGTCCTGCAGGACAGGCCTCTGTGTCCCCCCTCTCCATTCCCCTCAATTCCTGATCCATCCAACTCCCGGGTGCTCCAGTTGTGCTGTGTTCATTCCTTCATAGGTTCGTTTTGCCCTTCTGATGGTGTGTGTATTTGTGTGTGTGTAGCGGGGAGCGGGGTGCAGCTGCTATAGCTGCTATAGGCGGCCTGGAGACCTTGCTGAACAGGACAGACAAGGGAGAAGGGACAACACACAGGCCAGAAATCCAGGTGAGCATAGATTGAGGATAAGACCCACAGGCCCTGGGGTGGAGAGCAGGGGGGAGACAGTACCCGCAGGCAGGTGCTCCTCCCGGGTTAAGCCAGCAGGTGTTTCAATTCACAGGTCAGGGGTCAGATGCCCCTCCCAGGTAAAGCCCCTCCCGACCTCACAGCTGGGTGCTGCCCCCCCCCCCCTGCTGGTATCCTAACCTCCCAGGCTAAGAGTAAACTTCTGATTGGCGGCTGCTGAGCAGGTCGCGTCTGTTTCCTTCCCTGCAGGGCAGGTACTAAAAGGCTCAGGTTGCATTCCATCAGTACTGGCGAAGGGCAGAGAGCAAGTCAGACTACCTGACTCCTTTTATTAGATTAAAAAAAAATAATAAAATAAAAACATTAAAATTAGAAAAAAGTTTAAATTTGTTAAAAGAGATTTTAATTGTAAAGGCATACTTACAGAGACAAAGATCTTCCATCCATTGGTTCACTCCCCAATGGTTGCAATGGCTGGAGCTGAGCCAATATAGAACCAGGAGCCCGGAACTTCACCCAGGGGTGGCAGGGGCCCAAGCTGCTGCTTTCCCAGGTGCAGGGAGCTGGATCCGTGGGGATGTGAACTGGTGCTCTCTGACATGGGATGGTTGCATTGCAACCCGTGGCTTAACATACTGTAGCATTGCAAGCTCCATTTAAGAAAAAAAATGCATATATATTTAGGCAGAGTTATAGAAAAAATGAGTGGGCTACAGTCCTTGCCTTGAATGCGCCAGGATCCTATATGGGCGCTGGTTCTAATCCCAGTAGCTCCACTTCTCATCCAGCTCCCTGCTTGTTGCCTGGGAAAGCAGTCAAGGACGGCCCAAAGCCTTGGGACCCTGCATCCATGTGGGAGACCTAAAAAAGTCCCTGGCTCCTGGCTTCGGATCGGTGCAGTACCAGCCGTTGTGGTCACTTGGGGGAGTGAATCATCAGATGGAAGATCTTCCTCTCTGTCTCTCCTTCTCTCTGCATTTCTGACATAAATCTTAAAATAATTTTTTATCTTAAATAAATCTTAAAAAAAAAAAAAAGAAAGAGTGGTACAGTGAGATAGATCGCCCACCTGCTGATTCACTCCCCAAATGGCCACAACACCTGAAACTGAGTCAGTCTGAAGCCTCTTCCAGTTTTCCCAAGCGGGTGCAGGGACCTAAACACTCTGCTGCTTTCCCAGGCCATAAGCAAGGAGGAAGCTGGATGGGAAATGGAGCAACTGGGACTCGAATCAGCTCCCCTATGGAGGGCAGAGACTACTCCGCCCCAGCCCTGGACTAAGCCCTGGGGGCAGCAACAGAGGATGTCCCCAGACTAGCCTGGATGTAGGAATCCGCCCTGCCCACGGCGGTCACTCAGGACGACACCTGGACACAGGCCGGTCCACGTCCACCCGTCCTGGGCCCCGGCTCTTCCTCGCTAGCGCCCTCCAGGGACACGCCGCTCCCCTTGGCCAACGCGCGGCCTCGGACGACAACGGTCCCCCCCGACAAATCCCACAGAGGCTCGTGGCCACAGGCTGCTTTCTTGCCGTCCGGAGCCAGCGGCCACCACGGACGCAGTGTCCACCACAGCCACCGCGGCACCTAGCGACGGACGCCCAGCCATGCTGGAACACACTGCGCAGGCGCACACAGGTGCACGGCAGCGTGCTCGTGCCCGCGCCCGTCCTTCCCTGCATGAAATGGGGCGGGCCGTGCGTGATGGCGTCATGAGGCGGCGCCCCGGACGGCGCGAAGAGGAGGCGCGGGAATGGAGGTGCAGGAGAGCGGTGGGGCTTCGGCCACTGCGCCTGCAGCCAGCAAGGCTCCCGGCAGCGCCGGCCACTACGAGCTGCCGTGGTGAGGCCCCAGGCGGGCACTGGTGGGCGGGCCGAGTCAGGGGACCCCGAAGTTAAGGGGGCGGGCAGGAGGTCCCGGGGCGGCATCGAAATTACTGGAGGAGACGTTGGCTGTGCTGACCCCCGCAGGGGACGCAGGCTGGAAAGTGTTCACAACGATGAAGGCCACTGTTTGTAGTTTAAGAAATCTCTGCGTTTATATTGTTTATATGTTGAGAATGATAGCTCTGTGTTCGTTTTAGGGTCGCTAAGATAGTCAAATAGACTCCACCTTATATATATGTGTGTGTGTGTGTGTGTATTTATTTATATTAGAAAGGCAGATGCACAGAGAGAAGGAAAGACAGAGAAAGATCTTCCAGTGCTGGTTCACTCTCCAGGTGCCCAGCATGGTCAGAGCTGAGCTGATCTGAAGCTAGGAGCCTGGAGCCTCTTCCTGGTCTCCCATGCAGGTGCAGGGTCCCAAGGCTTTGGGCTGTCCTCTGCTGCTTTCCCAGGCCACAGGCAGGAAGCTGGATGGAAAGTGGAGCAGCTGGGATATGAACCAGCACCCATATGGGATTTGGGCAAGTGCCAGTAGAGGATTAGGCTGTTTAGCCATCACGCTGAGCCCCACCTCTCTTTGTACTCTGATGGGGAAAGCCCATTTTTTAGTTATGACCTATGTGGTTTGCATTATATTCTGTTGGTGTGTTCAGGGTGCTTCGGGTAGCAAATGAGTTGGTACTGAGTGAGGTTTATGAGAAACAGACCAAGGAATACAGACATTGATAGATGTGCCATTCATTTGACAAGAGAAAAAAAGAGAAGGCCTCTCTGAGGCTCTGATGTTTGGACAGAAAGCTGTGAGACCCAGGAACAAAGCTGTGGCTTGGTGGAGGAGGTGGGGTCAAGCGGGGAGCGTGGCCCTGCACAGGCTGTAGGCAGCATGTGGTCTCGTTCACCATGTAGCTCCAATTGCCTGCGCTGTGAGTGAAGCTGCTGCCTGCAGTGGCCCTCTGGCTAATCCTCCACCTCCAATGCCAGCATCCCATACGGGCGCCGGTTCAAATCCCGGCTGCTCCACTTTCCATCCTGTTCCCTGCTAATGTGCCAAGGAAAGCAGAGGAAGATGGCCAAAGCTTTGGGCCCGCATGGGAGACCGCCAGAAGAAGCTCCTGGCTCCAGCCTGGCTCAGCCCTGGTCATTGTGGTCATCTGGAGTGTGAACCAGCAGATAGAAGATCTTTGTCTCTGTATAAATCTGCCATTCAAATAAAAATAAGTCAGTTTAAGTATATGTGCATATACATGTTTTATTAAGAAATAGAGCTGTTAGTGTGTACAGACCGCTGGCCCATCCACATTGCATTGTGGGCTAAGCCATCTCAGCAGCCTCACCGTGTACTTGACATGTGCCTGTGGGAACCCACAGGTGAAGAGGGTGGCCAGGGGGCTCAGTGTCCCCTACCCCCATCTGTCGCCCCTGGTGATGTCAGCGCTGTGTGTGCTGAGCTGTGACAGGCAGGCTGTGTCGCCCGCAGCATCACAGAGCTGCAGATGGCCACTGCTGGCCCTCCACCAAGGACCGCCGGTGTTCCTGTGTGGGGACGAAGGCTTTGGCGGGCGTCACTTGTGAGCTTCAAACCTCCGGCCACTTGGTGTGTCATATTCACTGCAAAAATCCTCTGACAGTCCGCTCTGTCATGCTTTCTTTTTAGGGTGGCCTTGCCAGCATTTAAAAAAAAAATTTTTTTTTTTTTTCGTTTCATTGAAAAGGCAGCGAGACAGATATGTTCATCTGCCGCCTACCTGCAAGATAGCCCATGACAGTCAGGCCAGAGCTGGGAGCCCAGAACTGAATCCAGGTCCCTCCCACGGTGGTGGAGACCCAGGCATTTGAGCCCTCATCACGCACCCCCTTGCCCCTGTCCACATCCACAGAGGGCTGCAGCAGAAGCAGGGCCGGGCCTTGAACCGGATGCTCCTGTGTAGGATGTGGGATGTACTGAGACAGGCATGTCAACATGCTTCCGTGCTTCCCACGAAACAGGGTTGAAAAGTACAGGCCGTTGAAGCTGAACGAGGTTGTTGGGAATGAAGACACGGTGAGCAGGCTGGAGGTGAGTGCGTACCCGCTGTCCTCACTGTGGCTCTGCAGCCGCATGAAGCCTTTGCTGTCCTTTAGAACTGTTATCGGCTAAGAGACGAACACAGCTGTCAGGCGGCTTCCTACCCCACCCTCCAGCCACTGCCAAGGCCTGCCCGGAAGCTACATGGCTGAGTGGCAAAGCCAAGACAGCCCCAAGAGGAGCGAGCGAAGGCGCTCAGCCATAGAGCTGTAGAGCAGCTGGGAACATCTCAACTTAGAGACAGATCTATCTACTGGTTCATTCCCCAGATGGCCTGGCAGGCGGTCCATGTGGCTCTCTCATAAGGGTGCCCACTGGCAAGCAGCTGGAGTCAGGAGCTACAGTGGGAGCGGGACCCAGGCACCCCACTGTGGGGTACAGGAGCATCCTGGCAGTGTCTTAGCCATGTTGCCAGCGCCGGCCCTGGAGCCAGCCCACCATATCTCATGCTTTTTCTCCAGGTCTTTGCCAGAGAAGGGAACGTGCCCAACATCATCATTGCGGTGAGTGGCAGTGCCCGTTTCATGTCCTGCCTGTCTCTGGGGTTGGTAGGACAGCCTATGGGGTGGTTGCTGTGAGGCCTGGGGTTGGGGGGTGCCGAGGGGAGGCTAGTGCCTGCTGTGCTGAGCATGGAAGTCACAGTCGAGCTGGTGACAGCAAGCACTGATTTGGGACTTTTTTCCCCCCAGGGTCCCCCCGGGACAGGCAAGACCACCAGCATCCTGTGTTTGGCGCGAGCGCTGCTGGGTCCTGCTCTGAAGGATGCAGTTCTGGAGCTGAACGCTTCCAACGACAGGTGTGTGTCGGGGGCAAGGGCAGCAGCAGGGGCCGGTCCCGGTTGCGCATGTGCTGGCCTTGCTGGCCAAGTCCTGCAGCCTTCCTGGGGACAGCGTGGGAGACACCTGCTTCTCACCGCCATCTCAGAAATGCTTCATCTGTCTTTGGGTTTAATTCTTGGCTTAGAGTGGGACTTTCACATAAGTATTCCTCGCAGTAAAATCCACACAGAGCTTGCAATCTTAAATTGCAAAAAAAAAAAAAAAAAAGTTTATTTATTTGAAGGGCAGAGTGAGTTTCTACATCCACTGATTTATTCTCCAAATGACAGCAAAGGTCTGGGTTGGGCTAGGCAGGAGCCAGGAGCCTGGAACTCTGTTTAGGTCACCACATGGGTGCAGGGTCCCAAGGCTTTGGGCTGTCCTTGCCTGCTTTCCCAGGCCACAGGTAGGGAGCTGAATGGGAAGTGGAGCAGCCGGGACATGAACCGGCACCCGCATAAGGATCTGGAACTTGCAAGGTGAGGATTTAGCCATTCAGCCATCAGGCCGGGCCCTGCAGCTAACAGCTTAACTGCTACACTAAACACTCACTTTCGGAAACATTGGTGACTCATGATTTTAGAAGGATCTGTCATTGCGAAGTGTTTTTTATTTCAGACTTATAAATTCCCTTCGCAACCATCAGTGTAGTGATCCTGCTGTCTCCTTCTAATTAATCCTGTGCACACCCCTGCCTTCCTTCAGCTCTTTTAGTCACTCCCAGAGTTAGCTGTGTAAAGACAAAGCACAATGTCAAGGTGAAATGTCTGGGTTCTTGTCGCCACACAGCTTGGAGGGGCCAGCGCCATAGTGTAGCCCCCTCAGGCTCCACCCGTGGTGCCAGCATCCCATGTGGCTGCTCCACTTCCCATCCAGCTCCCTGCCTGTGACCTGGGAAACCAGCAGAGGATAGGCCAAAACTTTGGGACCTTGCATCTTCATGGGAGACCTGGAAGAAACGCCTGGCTCCTCCTGGCTTCGGATCAGCTAATCATCAGGTCCTGGAGTTCCTGACCCCTGGAGGGTCTGCAAGCTCTTGTGAGGGTCACTGGGCTAGGATTAGGGTCTTCCGTGGTGACACAGATACCCCGCTTGCTGTTTCAGGGGCATTGACGTCGTGAGGAATAAAATCAAAATGTTCGCCCAGCAGAAGGTCACCCTCCCCAAGGGCCGGCACAAGATCATCATCCTGGACGAGGCAGACAGGTAGGGAGCCGTGACCTCGGCCGTGACCGGAGGCGCAGGGCCATGCTGGGGGTACTCACTCAGCACGTGTCCAGTGGCAGCAGGACACTCTGCCTCCTGCCTTCCCTTTGTTAGATAGCTCACCCACGCTGGAGAGTCCCGGCCCCGCAGAGCACAAGGCGTTCCCGTGGGCCGTCCAGATGGGGAGAGTTACGTACCAACCTCACCAGTGCAGGTGCGACAGATGGAAGGGAGGTGTGTACCATGCAGCCGTCAGTCAGGTCCCCGAAGTCAGTTCTTAACGCAATCCTCTCTTGCCACACTGTGCATTTCTGCATCATCAAGAAGGTAGTACTGAACATTGTCCAGTCCTGACCGTTCCTTGTAACCCTAGAGGCCGCGTTCTGCATTGTTAGAATCTCACTGTGAACATGGTTTGCAATATTAAGTTCCGTGATATGGCTTCACCTTAGCCATTTTCATATAATAGTATCAGCTGGGCTTGTTCACACATACATGTGTTCTCTTGTGATCTGCCAGGCACTCAGCTAAGTACTTTGTTTAGTTACCAGAGCAAGTGTCTGGTACGGGTGTGAGGTCATTTCCACCTTGCATCCTGAGGCTCCAGGAATTTGGCCTAAGGCCCCAGGTAGTAGGTGGTGGCTCACGGGGCCTCATCTGAACACCTGTGTGACCCCACCCAGGTGGGGATCCTGTACAGACTGGGCACGCTCAGTCAGGGACTCAGGGACCCCTGAATCTCACTGGGGAAGTTGACAACCATCTTCACAAGTCTCACCCATGGAGGCTGTCTTGGGATGCTGTTGGTCCCAAATGCCGTTTGCGCAGTCTTTAAAGGGGTGGCTGGTGAGTTTTGAGGTCCGCGGGGTGGCCTGCTGCCTCCCAACAGCCCAGCCCAGGCACTGGGGGCCTGTTGCTTCGGTTCCTCCACAGGCAGGGGACGCTGTCCATCGCCCTGGGCTGTGGTTGTGAGCTGCCTGCCTGTGTCTTTCCAGCATGACGGACGGGGCCCAGCAAGCCTTGAGGAGAACCATGGAAATCTACTCCAAGACAACTCGTTTTGCCCTGGCATGCAATGCTTCAGATAAAATCATAGGTGCGTGGGAGCTCCAGGCCCATCTCTGGGCACTGCAGCTGTCTTGTGCCTGCTGGTGGGCTCCTGGATCGAGCTCCATGTGGCCAGCTTCCTAAAACTTAGGGCTGTTGGTGTGTTTGTTTGTTTTTTTAATCGACAAATGGCAGTGGTATACCGATTGTGGTCAGCTTGACATTTTGAGATATAATTAGCTTGCTCCTTTACTTGTATGAGGAAGTAGTATTAGCTTCCCTCTGGGGATACAGTAGGTGGAGCTGAGGTGGACTAGATTTGGGGACCCTCTACAGATGTCCCACGTGGAGTCGCAGGACCCCAGTCACCCATGTTGTGCCCGCTACCGCCCAGGAGGTAGAGGCACCGCCTGGGCCCGCCACAATGGAGTGTGTCCATCCCAGGCCATCCTGGGCAGTGCCAGTTTGCTGGTGGACAGCATGAGTCACTGCCGAGCTACTGCTGGCCAGGCTGACAGGGAGCTAACACAGCTCGGGCCAGGGCCCTTCACCCACGCCTGTCCCCCACAGAGCCCATCCAGTCGAGGTGCGCGGTCCTGCGCTATACCAAGCTCAGTGACGCGCAGATCCTGGCGCGGCTCTTGAACGTGATCCAGAAGGAGGAGGTGCCCTACACGGATGACGGCCTCGAAGCCATCATCTTCACCGCGCAGGGCGACATGCGGCAGGTGTGTGGGGGTGGGGGAGTGCCAACTGTGGGGCAGGGGCCAGGAGGACAGGGAGGTCACTCCACCTGTCTGCCATCCTCGCCAGGCACTCAACAACCTGCAGTCTACCTTCTCGGGGTTTGGCTTCATTAACAGCGAGAACGTGTTCAAGGTACCATGGCTGCCACCCGCACGGTGGCCCGGGGATGATGCAAGGGGGCAGGTGGGAGGGCTGGGGCATTGGGCCCATGTCGGCTCCGGGGAGTGGGATAGTGAATCCATGTGGCCTCCCAGTTCCTTCGTGGGTCCCCTGGGCTCCCCACCACCCCTGAGGAAAGCTGCCCTAGTGGCTGTGGTGGCTGTGGTGGTCATTGCCCTCTGGTCAGCATCATGTGACCGTGACCCAGACGCGGTGTGTGTAACCATTCCCTGGTCATGAGTGAAAGCGCCTGGCGCCTCCCTGGTTCTCGTTCAGGTCTGTGATGAACCTCACCCTCTGCTCGTGAAAGAGATGATCCAGCACTGTGTGAACGCCAACATCGACGAAGCCTACAAGGTGGGCCCCTGCCGGCCCCTGTGGCATGTGCGGGGCAGGGTGGGGGTAGGGCTGTATCCAGGCAGGCGGAACTCCTCAGCCCATGTCACATGGCATTTTGCCTGAAAAGCAAGGAGTGAGAGCTTCCATCTGCTGGTTCACTCCCTAAATGGCTGCATTCGTCAGGGCTGGGCCAGGCTGAAGCCCAGAGCCAGGAGCTCTGTCTGGATCTCCCCTGTGGGTGGCAGGGACCCAAGCACACAGTCACCCGGTGCCTCCCTGGGTTCAGAGTATGCCCAGTAGCCTCATGGCCTGTCCACCGTGCCTGCCCTGGTCCAGATTCTCGCGCACTTGTGGCATCTGGGCTACTCCCCAGAGGATGTCATCGGCAACATCTTCCGTGTGTGCAAAACCTTCCAGATGGCGGAGTACTTGAAACTGGAATTCATCAAGGTCAGTAGCAGGGGGTGGGGAGGCACCCTGTAGGTGCTCTGGGGGCTGGGAGGGCTTCACCCCCTTCCGCAGCAGCTGCTAGCTGCCCTCACTGGCATTCTCTCCTTCATTTTTTCTTAGCTATAACTTAGTGTTGTTTGTCCCTGGAAGGTGTGGGCACGTGTACACACATACACAGACCTTGCACTTACTTTATACTCCTTAAATGCCTACAACTCTTTTGTTTAAACCAGGCTGAACCCAGGGCTCCCATGTGGGTGCAGGGGCCCAAGCATATGGGCCGTCCCCTGCTGCTTTCTCAGGGAGCCGGATCAGAAGTAGAGCAGCCAGGACTCCCAGCTCCGCTATGGGATCCCAGCACTGCAGGTGGAGGCTTAGGGTGCTATGCCATGCTGGTCACCACCTGTTGAACTCAGCCTCTTAGCTGCATCCTGCTGAGAAGGGCGTCGTCGGTCCTGTCACCCCACCACAGTCGAAGTATCAGCAGTCTGTCACCCCAGAAGCTTCTGTGCCCCTTGGGAGCCAGCTCCACCCCTTACCACCTGGGAACCACCCATCTGTTTTCTGTTGTGGGGACAGGAATTTCCTGAATCTCCAGGGAATGGAATTGGGCAGAATCTCAGCTTTCCATGCCCTGCCTGTTGTCTGTGTGGTCCCCAGTGGCTCAGTTGCCTTTTCCAGCTGAGTTGGATTCCATTGTTCTCTTCTTGGGCAAATTCCTAGCAGTGAGCGTGCTTGGTCACCTGTGATGCGTCCATTTAACCCCGAAGGGCAACTCTCCGCCCCCTCGCTAAGAGCCGCCACTGGGGCTTGCCTTGCAGGAGATCGGGTACACCCACATGAAGGTCGCGGAAGGTGTGAACTCGCTGCTGCAGATGGCCGGGCTGCTGGCCAGGCTGTGTCAGAAGACCATGGCGCCCGTGGCCAGTTAGCACCGAGAGCTCTCGCAGGCCAAGGCCATGTGACCCAGAAGTCCCTGTGCCCGAAGCCCAGGAGCCTCGGCCTCGGGGCAGGGAGGGGGACAATGCAGGCTGTGTGGATGGGGGTTGTGGCTTGCCATGGCTCTCCATTGCTCCTGGCACACACGCGGCACAAGTGTGTGCATCCGGCAGAGAGCCATGGGGGGACAGGCCCACGTGTGTGCGTGTGTATGCTGGCCCTAAAGCTAATAAAGATTTCCTTTGTGCACATGCTGGCCTCCCAGCTAATAAAACCTCACCGTGTGCTTCAGCAAGAAGCAACAGTGCCAGGCCGCAGGAAGGCCAGCTTCCTGTCCCAGCCTGTCCCCGGCCTCCCCAAAGTAGAAAAGGTGCCAGGGATGGCGGGCAGCATGCACGCGCCTGGTGGTCCCTGCGAGGGGCTGGGTGCACCTAGCGCCCTGCCTGCTGAGACCCACTCCTCGGACAGCTGGGTGCCGCTCACCCCGAGGGCCACCCCCATGTAGCATGCGCTCCATCCATGTCACCTTTCCTGTGTGGTCACGAGTGCTTGTTGCTTTAGAACTGTAAAATTTGGGGGTTGGCCATTTTTTTTGTTTTGTTTTAAGATTTATTTACCTGGGAGCCTGTGCTGTTATTTAGTTGGTAAAGCCACTTACCTGCAACACCAGCATCCCATATGGGCACCAGTTCGAGTCCCGACTGCTCTACTTCCAATCCACCTCCCTGCTAATGCACCTGGGAAAGTAGCAGAGGATGGCCCAAAGGCTTGGGGGTTTCTTCCTCCCTTGGTAACTCTGCCTTCCAAATAAAGTATCTTATCTACTGTAGTGTCTATTTATTTGAAAGGCAGAGTGGCACATTGAGATCTTCTGTCCTTGGTTTCAGTCCTGAAATGGCTACAGCAGGACTGGGTCAGACCACAGCCTGAGAGTTTGGAACGCCATCCGGGTCTCCCACCTGAGTGGCAGGGACCCAGGCATTTGTGCCATCATTCACTTCCTGTGTGCATCAGTGGGAAGCTAGACTGGTGGGGCAGCAGCCAGGACTCCAACCAGCGCTCTGACACAGGCAGTAAGTTTTCACACACTGTGCCACAACCCCAGTGATGGCTCTGCTGACTGTAGAATTGCTCTTTTTTGGTAATGTACATGCAGCTTGTTCCTTTTTTTGAAATGATGCACAATGCCAGTTGTGTAGTTCTGCGCATGCTTGCCACTCACCTGTACAGTTCACTGTTGGGGGCCCAGCCCATAGCCTGCTCAGCTTCCCAACACCATGAGTCCCAGGCTGAGAAGGGTGGTGGGGGTGTGTGTGGGAAGCTTTAATACTTTTGAGTTGCACTGGCTGCTGTCAACAGGGCCTCAGGATGGTGGGCCATGGCTGGTGGGGGGTGGGATGGGGGTAGAATGTTGTCTGTAGAGAGTGCCAGGACAGCTGGGGACTGGCACCTGGAGCAGGGAGGTAGAACCTGCCGGCCCTCCAGCTCCGTGCCATGGCTCGCCCAGGCCATACAGACACCAGGATAGCTGTTGGGGTTAGGGCCTTGGTAGGGGGGGGGCTCTAGGGAGGGGGCCCTGGAGACCTTTGGGAGCTGAGGGCATGCCCATCCAAACCTGCTCAGGCCTCGGGCAGGTGTGTGGGTTCCCACTGCTGGTGGCTGAGGCAGTCCTCACTGGAGACCACCCCTCCACACCCCCATGCCTCCCAGCACTCCCACACAGACCTCAGTCATGGTGCATTTTAGTGTTTATATTTTATTAGAAAGAGTGACAGAGATCTTCCATCCACTGATTGACAATCCAAATATCCCCAACAGCCAGCCTGGGCCAGGCCACAGCCTGAAGTCCACGCGTTACCCATGTGGGTACAGGGACCCACGCGGTACTTGGGCCATCATTGGCTGCCTCTGTAACTTGGTAGTGAGAGCCAAGACTCCAGATGTGGGGTACCAGCCCCCAGTGACATAGCCAGGGGTGCCACAGCACCTGCCCTGCACGGAGGGGTCAGGGGCTTCTCTTGCCTCCCTGTGAGGTCACGGCTTCTGGTGTGGCAGGTGGCCAACACTTGACTTCTGGATGTGTCACTGGGGAAAGGTCCGGGGCAGCCTAGGAGGAGGGTCAGGTGTGCGCACAGGTTCCTGCCTGTGGCACGGCCCCTTGCCGTGAACCAGGCCTTGCCCATCCTGAAAGGCAGAAGCTGGCGAGCATGGTTTATGAAGACATTTTGCCTGGAGTGGGGGTGCCTTGCCTCAACCTCGGGTCTCTGTGGGCTCCTGTCCTTCCCACCCCACGGTCACACGTGGTTGTCTCTGCTGCTCAAGTCACAGCCAGCCCTGGAGCAGAGGAGGGGGCGCCCCTGGCCACTGCGCCGGCCTCCTCTCCATGCTGTGTCCCTTTTGTCCCCAGCAAGTCCCATGTCCGCCGCTGGCCCCTGAGAATGACCTCTGGTCTTGGTTCTTGGCAGCAAAGTCAAGGCCTCCGCTGGGGCGTGGGGAAGGCAGGTGCCCCAAACTCCCACAGGGAGCAGAGAGAGTGGAAGGAGCCTTCCTGAAGAGCAAGACAGAACTCTGGCCTGGAATAGGGACTTCTGCCCATATATGTGAAAACTAAGCCTAGGAGGGCACATGGTTCCAGCACGCCAGATTATGGCAGACCTGGGGAGGGCACACATCCCAGAGTCTTGGGGGTCCCAGCATCACAAGAACTGGGAACCCACCACGCCAGTCACCTGCCTTGTCTCAGGGTGGTCCTGAGCCTAGCAGAGGGGGCGGCTGCCACTCCACCTATTCCCAGCCTGGGTCTGCCAGGCTCTGTGTGGTCCTCAGAGACCCCATGGTGTGACCACCACCAGGGCTCAAGGTCATCCAGTGCTGGGGACTTCTGGGCTTCCTGCAACAGGGAGGAAGTTTGTTCAAAGAGGATATTAGCTAACAATTTCTTATTTCCCCACCCCCCTTGGGGTGGGGGTGGGGGAATGGAAGACAAGCTGGGCAGCACTCAGCTGCCCTCCTGCACCCTGGTTGTGAACAGAAACACCTGGCAAGCAGGCCTTGTTGTCCTGTGTAACAGATACCTCGGCTCTGACTTTGGAAAACTACCACAGATGCAGGGCAGGTATCTGGCGACACAGCAAGGGCACTGCTAGGATGGCCTGTCTCTTGCCTCCTGACCCGGCGTCCTGCTAACGCACACCCCAGAGGGAGGCAACAGTGACAGCTCAAGTGACTGGATTTCTCCCACCCACACAGAGGACCTAGCTCCTGGCGGGGCAAGTGCTGGCACCGGGAAAATCAGTGGAGGGAAACTCGTTCCATCTCTGCCTCCCCGTGCCCCTTAACTCAGCCACAACTTCAAGGGCAGGAATCTTTCCTGCAGTGGCCAGGAGCCAGCACCTGACTGTACCCAGGTCAGTACTTCCGCCCATATAGCACAGCAAGGACCCTGTCTCACAGCCAAGCTGGGCCTGCCTGGCCTGAGGGACCCTTGCCCTTTCCCAGGCTGGAGGGAACTGCCAGCGCCTGGCTGCACACTCTCAGCTCCTACTGGACGCCTGTGTCACACACACACAGACACCTCTTCTCCCTCCTATGTGCCGGGCTTCCCTCTAAAGTGAAGCTTCTCAGACGGTTCAGCAGGTGACACTGCCTGGTAAGGCCAGCATCTGGTGACACCTGTAGTCCTTATGGGCCCCGTTTCAAGTCCCAGCTGCTCCACTTCCCATCCAGCTCCCTGCTGATGTGTCCAGGAAAAGCAATGGAAAATGGTCCAAGTGCTTGAGCCCCTGCACGCAGCGTGGAAGACCTGGATGGAGTCCCTAGGTCACAGGTGGCAGCTCTGAACTGATGGGGATGCTCGGGGAAGACTCCCCTTGTGAGAAGCAGCATCACCCATGCCCTTCTGAGTACCCATGGGTGCTGCCTCATGACCCCCCTCCAGTGAGCCCCTGGCTCCTGCCTGGATAGCAAACTCAGGAGCCAGATAATTCCCCCCCGCCCCTTAGTGCAAAACAGCCGCAGTCGGGGCCTTATACCTTCCTTCCAGTCTTGCCTAGGCTTTGGGCACTGCCGGGTCCTGGTTCACATAATCGGGCTCCCCGCTGTCCTCATCAGGGCTTTCTGGCGGGAAGGGAGCCACCGCTCCACCTGCTCCTTGCTCTGGGGACCAATGGGCACACAGCTGTCAGTGCACACTAGCCCCATTCCCAGGCCCCAACGGGAGAGCCCTCGGGACAGCTACACAGCTTGGGACCAGGCAGTCAGCTGTCCCTGTCTGTGGCATTTGTGTGGGCACCGCCCTGGCTGGAGGGTTACCCATCTGCCCCACCACCACCACCAGGGCACCCAGGTTAGCCCTGCCTAGCTTCTGTCCCCACCGCCGACCCTGGCCACTACCCTTGATCCTCCGCGACTTATGCCACAGGTGGATGGAAGCCGAATTCTGATAATCTTCTGAATCCTCACCGCCTGCAGGGGATTGGAGGGCCAAGGTGGGGCTGAGGGAGAAGCCTGGCCAGGATTCCAGGGCTTACTGACCCCGGCCCCCCCCCCCCCGGGGCACTGGGAGCCAATGGGGCCACTCCCAGGAGACCTGGGCCTCCAGCCTCCCTGACGGGCCTCACCTGACAGGCCTCACCTGACTCTGGCGCCTTGGGTTTGCAGATGAGCACATTCTCATAGGCCCCGGTGTCTTCATCATCATCATCATCTGGCCGGGAGAGAGAGGGGCAGCACCTGTGGGCTAGGGGTGTAGGGAAACCGCCAGACCTGGCTCTTCCTCCTCCTGATGTCCCGCCAAGCCCCTAGTCCCTCGGTACCCCCAGGGCCAAGCTTCCAAGGTCCCATCCAAAAGCCCCCCAGAAGGGCGGTCACTCCCACCCTCCAGGAGCACTGTTGGAATGTCACAGATTCAGGGATCAAGGCTGGCTGTGGGGCTCCAGAGCCAGGCACCCCGTCATCACCCTGGGGGAAGCTAAGCTTGAACTCCACCTCCCCAGTGCACACCTGTTACAATGCCTCCAAGAAAGGAGTCCCCTACCCTACATAGCAGAGGGGCCAGAAAGGGCCTGGAAGCCTCAGGCCTCTGTACCTGCCGCAAGGTACCGCCCTCCCTCACTGTCTTTGTAAAGGGGCCAAAAGCCCCAGAGCACCAGCATCCTCAGGCCTGGGGAGCTCAGTTTTACTGCCAAGCTGCCCTTACAGGGCCTTCCCGAGGGCCTCTCTGCTGTCAGCAGCAGCCTCCTGACCCTGGCAGCAAGCGACCCTGTCTTCCCACTGGCCCCTGCCCCCTCCCTCCTTCCTCCGTTCCCACCCCCTTTGGTTCCCCACACTATTCTGAGGTGCATTTGGCCCCAGGCTGCTGCATCCTCTCCTCCCGCCCCGTGGCCTCTGCGACACCCCTCCAGGACCCTGCCTCACCTTCCTGGGGCCTCAGGAGCGGCCCCCAGTTGTAATAGTCGGCAGTATTAGAGTGTCTGTCCCAGAAAAAGGCACAATGCAGGTTGCTGGGCAGTCCTGGCTCAGAGTCCCAGGGGCCAAGGCTGCTGATGGGGTCCCTCCTCCCCCCTGGCACCCCGCCTTCGCCTCCATGGAGACCGAAAGGGGACTTTCCACATTGTTGGGTGACCACAGGGGGATACCTTCCGCCCTGGGGTACAGGGCACCTGTTTCACAAAGGCTGTTACAGGCAGACTCTCCCCATGCGGGGCCCCTCCCTGCTCCGAGCAGGGCCACTCTAGGTCCCTACAAAGTCACAATCGCCTGGGGGGACAACAGCGCCACCTGCAGTCCTGCCATGGCATTGCTTAGGGTGGGCGGGTGACAATTGAGAGAGCTGAGGGTGTGGCCGGGATGGGGCCTCCTGGACAGGGGTGAGGGGAGGGAGCGGCACCTCCCGGGGCAGGGGTGAGACCACTCACTGGTAAGATGCCTCTGGCTCTGTTCTGTTTTCTGTGGAAGAAGGAGGAAGTGGGACTTGGACCTGGAGCCCCGTGGATCCTACCTCAGCCACCCCCCACCCCTCGGGAATCCACCCACCTCTGCTGAAGTGCTGGTACCTGGAGGAGGCAGGGTCTGGAAGGAAGGCCACCCCACTCAGCGCTCCCCTGCACCGCACCCACCCCACCCCACCCTGCCCTGCCTCCCAGCCTTGAGGTCTCCAGTATGCACCTGTTGGATGCTGGTGGACCTCTACGGGAGCATGCATGCGTTGTGTGTGTGTGTCAGAGCCGCCTGCCCTAGCTCGCATCTCTCCCCCATCCCACCTGTCCCACGGGGTGCACCCCTGCCTTAGCCCTGTGTCACTCACCCTGGAGGTTGGGCGGAAACTCCAGCAGCTTGTCCTTCCTGCTGGTTGGTGGGGTCAGGTGGGGCTGAGGCTGGGGGTGGGGTCCCAGGCTGCCCCATCTCCCCTCATCCCCACCCCCCCACCAGCAGCCTCCTGTTGGGCCCTCAGCTTGGGGTCTGAGCTCAGCCAGGTGGGACTCTACCCCCACCCAAGGACCCCTTCCTTTGCTTCTTGTGCTAGGGGGCTGAGACAGGGGGCTCCATCCTACCTTGTGGACCCCTGGTCAGGGCCAGCGAGCCCCAGGGGCCTGACCACTGCGGAGATAAGAGCAGTTGATAAGAGCAGCCAGGAAGGGGTATGTGGAGGGAGAGCCCAGCCCAGCCACCTGCTAGCCCCAGCAGATGCTGCCTGCCCCATCCATGCCCTCAAGGCCAGAGGGGACAGAAGGGACGTGGATCAGGACAGCAGGACACTGCCAGACACCTCCAGGGACTCACAGGAGTAGGTCCGGGCCACTGCAAAGCTCTGGGGTCCCTCTTGCCTGCAAACACACACAGGACAAGGCTGACCAAGGGCTTGTCCAAGACAAGGGGCCAAGGATGGGGGCGCACAGGGGCTGCTGCCCAATGGCTACCCACCCCAGGCCCATCCTTCACAAGGGACTGGGGCTGGAGCCTGGGCCCTCAGCCACACTCTCCTCCATACTGAAAGCAGGGCCTGTCGGGGGCCAGGCCCCTGGAGACGGGCAGGGTGAAGGTAAGCGGGCACCTGTGGGCAAGGGTGGGGCGGTGGCCACTTAGAGACCAGAGGTGACTTTGGCAGGGAAATCGGTCAGCCTGAGGGGCTCTCCCATCTCCACTGCTAGCACCTCCCCAAGAGGACAGGGCCTCCTGGGGTCACTCACTGCCCAAGTGCTTGGAACATTGCTACCCTTAAGGGGCACCTGGCTTCAAGGGCTCAGCTCCTGCCATTGTGGCCATTTGGGGAGTGAACCAGCAGATGGAAGATCTCTGATTTTTAAATAAATGCATAAATAAAGGACACCAGTGGCCTCCGCCCTTGTGGCCTTGCCCTCTCACCTTCCTGGGCACTTGTGGGCCTTCCCTGACACTGCCACAGCCCACCCAGGGATCCCCGAGTCACAGGCCCCCGGCTGTGGGGTCACAGGTACAGCTGTCACATCCCGCTCTATGCCAGGGTCCCTGTCCTCCAGTGCCAGCCTAGTGAGTGACTGGGGTCAGGGGTCAAGGCCACAGGAGCCTGGACGTATGGAGAAGCCCCTTGGGCAAAGTAGCTGAAGAGAGAATGGGACTGGTCCAACAGCCTGGGCTTCCCAGAGCCAAGGCTGGGGCGGGGCCTGCTTGGGCCAGAGCTTCCCCCTGCCCCTCTGCTGACTGCTGGGAACCCTGTTGAGTTCTGTGCTGGGGAAGTGTGAATGAAGGAGGGCAGGGGCACCTATGCCAACATCCTGTGTGGGACAGTGAGACAACTTACAGACTTCTCTGTTCGTAGATTTTTTCGGGCCTCTTGGGCTCTGCAAGAATAGGCCTGGATCAGCAGGCATCCTAGGGGGTCCTGAGACCCCAGCCTCCGCATCTCATCTCCCCTCCCCTCCCTCCTCAACCCCATGCCCTCTGCAGGCCTCAGATTGCAAAGATCTTTGTGAGTTCTTTTCCCAGGACAGATGGCCCCAACCCCCTCTCATAGAGTCCTTACCCACCCCCAACAAACTGCCCTGAACACCTCAAAACCAAAGCTTCCCCCTACATCCCGGGAGCCAGCAGCCTGCGAGGCCTCTGGGCACACGCTGCCACTGTGGCTCCGTCCATCACGCCCCAGCCCTGTGTTTACCTGTTTGGGGACAACGCACGCAGAGCCCAGCCACCATCCCCAGTAGCAGCAGCAACAGCAGTGCTGCGCCTAGCCACAGCAGCTCGCTCTGGCCGCTCATGGCCATTCCTGGTGCCTGGAACACTGCAATGGGAGGTGGGTGGCCATGAGCAGGGGACACCCCCACAGCCCCAGCCCCAGCCCAGCCCAGCCCAGCCCAGCCCAGCCTCAGCCCCAGCCCCAGCTCCAGCCCCAGCCCCAGCCCCAGCCTCAGCCCCAGCCCCAGCCCAGCCCAGCCCAGCCTCAGCCCCAGCCTCAGCCCCAGCCCAGCCCCAGCCCAGCCCAGCCCAGCCCAGCCTCAGCCCCAGCCTCAGCCCCAGCCTCAGCCCCAGCCCCAGCCCCAGCCCAGCCCCAGCCCCAGCCCAGCCCAGCTCCAGCCCAGCCCAGCCCCAGCCCCAGCCCAGCCCAGCCCAGCCCAGCCCCAGCCCCAGCCCCAGCCCCAGCCCAGCTCCAGCCCAGCCTCAGCCCAGCCCCAGCCCAGCCCAGCCTCAGCCCAGCCCCAGCCCAGCCTCAGCCCAGCCCCAGCCCAGCCCAGCCCCAGCCCAGCCCCAGCCCAGCCCAAGGGCCCAGGTTCTGGTCTACAGTCAACCCTGACAGCTCCAAGCTGAAAGGATACCGCCTTGCCTCCTTGGGTTATCATCATGCTTCAAAAGTGCTGGAGGGTTCTGGAGACCATGGGAGGGCAGCACATGCTCACAGCACTAAGTGTATCCCACTTAACCCTCCTTGGAAGGGGTGCACCTGCCTCACATGGTGGGGGCAGGGGTAGTGATCGAGGCTGCGGAAGCCAAGGCTATCCAACCACCTATTCCAACCTGCCACCTCCTTGGAAGAATGTATCTGGGCCCGGTGTGGTGGCCTAGTGGCTAAAGTCGTCGCCTTGAACGCACCAGGATCCCATATGGGCGTCAGTTTTAACCCCAGCTCCCTGCTTGTGGCCTGGGAAAGCAGTCGAGGACAGCCCAAAGCCTTGGGACCCTGCACCCGCATGGGAGACCCAGAGGAAGCTCCTTGCTCCTGACTTCAGGTCAGCTCAGCTCTGGCCATTGCAGCCACTTGGGGAGTGAATCAGTGGACAGAAGATCTCCCTCTCTGTCTCTCCTCCTCTCTGTATATCTGACTTTCCAATAAATAAATTTTTAAAAAGAATATATCTGAAAGAGAAAGATCCTCCATCTGCGGGTTCGCTCCACAGCTGCAGAAGGTGGGACTCACAGTGGTTGAGGGGAGCAGGGAGAGGAGGAGCTGCCGGGCGGTGGGGGGACGGCGCACTGTGGCACAGAAAGTGAAGCCACTGCTTGGGGCACCTGCATCCCATGTGGACGCCGGTTCGAGTCCCATTTGGTTGCTCTCCCATCCAGCTCCCTGCTAATGCACCTGGGAAAGCAGCGGAGGATGGCCCAAGGCCTTGGGACCTTGTACCCACATGGGAGACCCAGAAGATGCTCCGAGCTCCGGCTTTGAGCCTGGCCCAACCCTGGCTATTGTGGTCATTTAAGGAAACAAACCAGCGTGTAGAAGATCTCTCTCCCTCTCTATCATTTTCTGTCTGTTACTCCACCCTGGGCTCGGCCTAGACTCCGGCTACCTCCTTCCCTTGCTGTGTGATCCTGCAACCTCTCTGGGTTCTGCCAAGACAGGGAGGAATGCGGGGACACGTGAGCCAAGACACTCAGCAGGGACAAATGAGTCCCTGGCCTCATGACCGGCATGCCCCATGCCACCACCCAGGATGATGTCCCAGCTGCTGGCCCCACCCTCTTGCCCATACCTCCCTTGCCCCCACCCCTACCGCCGACCTTGCCCTGCAACTTCTGGCAGCCACCCAGGGGAGCCTTCACCCCAGTGCTTGTCCACCTCCCGCTGCTGTGTGAAGCTGGGAGCCCCTGTCCGGGTGGGGAACACTCCAGAGAGCCTACCCTTGCCTGTGTCCCAGCACCTCAGTGGTCTGGTCTATAAAGTGGGCAGCATAACCCAGTGCTTTCCTCAAGGACATGTGGGGAGGGAGAGGGGCAGGCATCTGGGGCCTAGGTTCGAGTCCTGGTTCTGCTCCTGATCCGGTGAACTGCCACCCTGGGAGGCGGCAGTGATGGCCAGAGCTGTGGCACAGCAGACAATGCCAGTGCTTCTGACGCCAGCCTCCCTTGCACCTGCTGGTTCAAGCCGTGGTGGCTGCACTTCCCATCCAGCTCCCCCTGGCTCGTGACAGCTACAGGAGCTCCTGCTCTCTGTCTCTCCATTTTGTTCTTTGTAACTCTTTGAAAACAATCATTCAGCATTCGGGGGGCAATGCCAGGGTCCATGGTGTAGTAAGTTAAGCCTCTCTTGAGATACTGGCTCCCATATGGGCACTGGTTCGTGTCCCGGTTGCTCCACTTTACATCCAGCTCCCTGCTTGTGGCCTGGGAAAGCAACAGAGGACAGCCCAAAGCCTTGGGGCCCTGCACCTGCGTGGGAGACCCAGAAGAGGCTCCTGGCTTCGGAGCAGCTCAGCTCCAGCTGTGGCAGCCATCTGGGGAGTGAACTACTGGATGAATTTTTCATAAGATTTATTTTATTTTTATTGCAAAGTCAGATATACAGAGAGGAAGATCTTCCATCTGGTGATTCACTCCCCAAGTGACCACAACGGCTGGTGCTGCACCGATTTGAAGCCAGGAGCCAGGAACTTTTTCCAGGTCTCCCACATGGATGCAGGGTCCCAAGGCTTTGGGCCGTCCTCGACTGCTTTCCTAGGCCACAAGCAGGGAGCTGGATGGGAAGTGGAGCTGCCGGGATTATAACTGGTGTCCATATGGGATCCTGGCGCATTCAAGGCGAGGACTTTAGCTGCTAGGCCACTGTGACGTGTCCATAGTGGATGAATTTTTCTCTCTTCTCTCTCTGTAACTCTGGCTTTCAAATAAATAATCTTTTAATCAATCAGTATTTGGAAATAGACCAACCAGGCTATACACACACACACATGTGACAGCGCCCCCCAAGCCTGACCATGTCCTTGAGCTGGCATGCAAGCTTCCAGGAAGCTAACAGCCGAGGTGCCCGCGCACTGGGCCCCGAGGAGCAGGGACAGTCATCCCTTGGGTTTGTCACGTAAGGCAGTGCTGGAATCAGCGACTCTTTCTCATAGACACAGTTTTCCTGGGGCCCCATGGGCTGGGGACCTAGGCCACACGCAAAGGCCGGAGCTTCCCTCCACAGGGGCAGTGGAGGGGAGGGGCTTAGGTCCAAGAGGGGCTGCGGCTGTCTGAAGTGCAGGTGCCTCCTCCTGCCCGGTTCCATGCCCAGGCCCCCTCGTGGCCTCCAGCCCAGCTTCTCTCCCTTGCAAGGCAGCCAAGCAGACAGAGAGGCACAGACCAATGTCTAAGATCACACAGCGAGGAAGCCACAACGGGCCGACCCCAATGCAGTACACTCTCACTCCCTTCCTATTGGGAGTTGGAAAAAAAAAAAATACTCGTAAAATTTCAAAAAGAGGTTAGCTTGGAGCTAGCATTGTGGCACAGGAAGTTAAGCCCCCACCTGCTACACTGGCATCCCATATGGGCACCGGCTGGTTCAAGTCCTGGTACTCCACTCCTGACTCAGCTCCCTGCTAATGTGCCTGGGAAAGCAGTGGAGAACGGCCCAAGTGCACGGGTCCCTGCAATCACGAGGGAGACCCAGAAGAAATTCCTGGCTCCTGATATCGGAGTAGCTCAGCTCTGGCTGTTGCAGCCTTTGGTGGAGTGAACCAGCAGATGGAAGCCCTCTCTCTCTCTCTCATTATCTACCTGTCAAATGAATCAGTCTTTGTTTAATGAAAGAAGGTTAACTTTATGGAACTAGGTCTGAACTCCTTGCAGTTTCTCTCTCGTTCTCCGTTTCTCTTTCTCTCTCTGCCGCTAAGCCGGTGGGGTAACCTTGTAGGGACAGGAGGGTGGCCCACAGCCCTGAGCAGGCCCCAAGGGGCGGGCCAGGCCGGGCCAGGCAAGGGAGGGGACCAGCAGGCCGCGGCTCTGCAGGCCAAAATAGCATAAAGGGAAGTGGGTAGTTTTCGTATGAACCAAGGCTTGTGCAAGGCTGTGGGGGGAAGGGGAGGGGGAGCCCATGGGGGGTGGCCGAGCCCCCCGCGTGGAGCTCCAGCCCTTGCAGGCCATCTCGGCCCCTCTGCCAGGCCTGTGCATGCTACACTTGGGGAAACTGAATACAGCAGGAACTGTGGGGGCGGTGAAGGGGGTCTGGGCTTTGGCCTCGTGGTGGGTTCCCTGAGGGGTTAGGGAAAGCAAGGTAGCAGGCAGTAGAGCAGGGGTGAGCGAGGGCTAGCAAGTGGCTTCAACCCCCAGCGAGGGACCCCCAGGTCTCTCAGTGATTCCACTCTGGGCAGGGCCTGGGGTGGCGCCAGGGGCAGTTACTTGCCACTGGCTTGGGGCAGGACCTGGGCCTGCTTGCCCAAGCCAGGGAAACATAGAGTCCCATTCCACCGATGAAGAAACTGAGGCTGCGGGATGCATCCTGGGCGGCAGCTGGCCACCCAAGCTCTGAGCCACCTGTCAGGGGTCTCAGACAGGGAGAGCATGAGGCTAGGGTCTTCTCAAGCGGATGGAGTCCCAGACCCAGGCCATCCCCTGCCTGGCTCCCGGCCCAGACGTCCCTGGTCTCCCATAGTCCCCATTGGGTGCTAAGCATTCTTGTGGGGTCTGGCAGGGTAGGGGGGAGGGAGAACAGATAGGCCCCGGGACTCGTCGTCTGCATCAGCCAGACCCCAGGCACCCCACCCTGGGAGAGGCTTACCTGAGAGTCAGGAGAGCATTGTGGGCCCGTGCACCTGCCCGAGGGGACGCCAGCGCCACTCACACTGGCAGGCAGTGGGGTGAGGCGTTGGTGGCTTCCTGTCAGTTCTTCCTCATACATCCGCTGCACGGCCGGACAGGCTCTAGGGACGAACCGACGAGGGTGACAGAGAGCCGAGGGGGCGGGGAGAGACGGCCAGGCCCAGGCACGCGCAGGCAGAGCTCAACCGTGCGCGTGCGTGCTTGCACAAATGCAGAAATGCACATGCACGGATGGGTGGACAAGGTGAGGAGTATGCGCACACACTACACACACACACACACACACAGAGGCGGGCAGGCCCTCAGCCTGGGAGGGACCAGGAGACACAGGCGGGGCCGCTGCTGTGGTGCAGCCAGCCAGCACCCGGATTCGAGCGCCAGTTCTAGTCCTGGCTGTCATGCTTCCCATGCGGCTTCCTGCTGGTGTGCCTAGGAGGAAATAGAGGGTTGGTGATTCCAGTGCTTGGGTCCTTGTCACTCATGTGGGTGACCCAGCTAGGGTTCTGGGTTCTGGCTTTGGCCTGGCCCCAGCCCTGGGTGTGGAGATCTCTCTCTGGTGTACAGAAAGTATATGCCCAGGGCAGAGTTGATGGACAAATAGGCCAAGACAGACAGACAGAGGGTGGGACACTCAGGAGCACTGGAGGCAACAGAACAGGAGCCCTTCCTGACCCTAGCCCGGAAGCAGAGGCCCTTCCCCACAGGACACAGGTGAGGCCCCTGGGCCGGGAAGGGCAGGAGCAGTGAGTACAGGACACAGGACCCAGGCAGAGTTGGTCACCAGCCTGCACCTGCCCAGCAGCCCAACCACGGGTGCACAAACTGGATGGAGTCACCTGCACCTTCTGTTCCATAGGTGACTGACCCCGGAGCTTGGGATGTCCTGGCAGCTGGGAGAGGACAACAGGTGCACAACAACCCAGGAAGCCGCAGGCAGGGAAGGGCTCTGCGCACAGGTCCCTAGCTCCTGATCCAAGGCTGGCAGACTGTGGGTGCTGTCCCGCCTGCCTGGGGAAGCCAGGACAGCAGGGTTCTAATGTATGTTTCAGGAGTCAGGACTCCTCTAAGCCTGGGTTCTTTCTCGGGGACTCCCCTTCATGACCTAGGTGTTCGTTTGTTTCTCATTCAGCCTTTGTCCCTAGGGGTGCTGACCTGGATGGGAGCCTGGCTTGCCCGCTGCTGCCACCTGGTGGAAGGGAAAGGCAGCACAGCTCAGGAGGTGGCTCTGCATGGCGGGTGTTGGCACCAGAAGGCAGCTTAAGCCAGCGCCACCTGCCTTTAGGGCCCAGCCTTGTGGAGCAGTGCCTAGGGGCAGTACCTGTGGCACCACAGCCAGAGGCGGAAGGCCAGATCCCCTCTGGACCCCAGTGGACGGAGGCTCTGGATTTTGAGTGATTTAATTTTTATTTAAATTTTTGAATTTTATGATACAATTCTGTAGAGCCGGGGACTCCCCCCTCAACTCCCCTCCCCGCCCCGGACTGATTTTCCACATATTGTTGCAGTAGTATAGTCCTTCATAGGGAGTTACAATTCCATCAGTCTGTTATTTAAGTGTGCTCCCACATTGCTGGTACAGACAATGTCAGACAGTCCAGTATCCCATAGTGTCTAGACATGTCCAACAGTTTCACTGGGAGTCCATCTTTGATTTGGAAGTAGGGATGCATGTTGCGTAGTGTCTTCACATCTGGATATGGTACTCCATCACCGTAGATTCCAATTTGCACGATGGTTTCCTTATATTAGAGAGAACATACGATATTTCTCTTTTTTGGGATTGACGTATTTCACTGAGCATAATGGTCTCTAGTTGGAACCATCTAGCTGCAAATTGTATAATTTCATTCTTCTTAATGGCTGAATAATATTCCACAGAGTAGGTGTACCACAGTTTCTTTAACCACTCCTCTTTGCGGTCACTTGGGGAGTGAACCATCAGATAGAAGATCTTCCTCTCTGTCTCTCCTCCTCTCTGTATATCTGAATTTGCAATAAAATTTTTTTTAGAAAGGAAGCAGATCTCTTACCCATTGATTAGTTACAGGGAGAGAGAGAGAGATCTTTCATCCGCTGGTTCACTCCCCAAGTGGCTGCAATGGCTGGAGCTGAGCCAATCCAGAGTCAGGAACCAGGAGCTTCTTCCGGGTCTCCCATGCAGGTGCAGGGTCCCAAGGCTTTGGGTCATCCTCTGCTGCTTTTCCAGGTGCTCTGTCAGGCAGCTGGATTTGCGCACATCCTTAATTCCAAGAGTGCCATATGTATGAGCCCTCCACCAATCCCAAGGCAGTTTAGTGCTGTTGACAGAACCCTTGTGCCACCTGGAAAGCTGGTCTCCCTCCTTCCCCATGGCAGCCAGGAGCAACCAGGCCGGAGGGATCTCATTATCGTTTACCCTGTCGCCCAGAGGGACTCAAAGAAGGAATGTCGGAAACAAATGTTTCCCAACACTGAAACTAAACAGCAGCGCCTTTTCCTGGTGTGCAAGTCATGGGGCGACAGAGACCAGAGGAGGTTGGAATTGGGTCCACAGTCTTCAGTGTTTGGGTTCACGTTCATGAGCACTCAGCAGCATCCTCTCCTTTGTAGCCAGCCCAATCTACATGGAGAAGATACCTGAGCCACAAGTGGAAGCTGACACTTCTAGAAGGCTGCCATCCATATGGCCACTAGTTCAAATCCCAGCTGCTCCACTTCAGACGCAGCTCTCTGCTAATGGCCTGGGAAAGCAGCAGAAGATGGCCCAAGTCCTTCAGACCCTGGACCCATGGAGGAGACCGGGGAGACCCGGATGGAGTTCCCAGCTTCAGCCTGGCCATAAGGGGGTGAACCAGCAGGTGGAATATCTCTCTGTCATTCTTTCAACTACATAAAATGAAATGTTAAAGCAGGAAGAATGGCAGGATGGTAGGGAGCCAGGAGGGGCAGGCGCCTGGCAGTAGTCAGGGATCCCTGTATGAAATCTGCCTCTTCCTTGGAAACTTGGGTTGAGTCCCGCTCCACTTCTGATCACAGCTTCCTGCTCATGCGCACGCCACAATCTTGGCTGCAGTGGCCATTTGGGGAGTGAACTTGTAGATGGAAAATCTGTCCCTCTCTATGCCTTTCAGGTAAACACAAAAATCCTTTTTTCCCTTTATTATTTTTAAAATGATCTTTACATAGTTGATTAGGCTACAGGGAAGTTGGTAAGACCATTGTTTTCTTTTTAAATTTATTTTAGGGCCCGGTGGCATGGCCTAGCGGCTAAAGTCCTCACCTTGAACACGCTGGGATCCCATACAGGTGCCACTGGTTCTTATCCAGGCAGCTCCACTTCCCATCCAGCTCCCTGCTTGTGGCCTAGGAAAGCAGTTGAGGATGGCCCAAAGCCTTGGGAGTGGCCCTGCACCCACGTGGGAGACCTGGAAGAAGTTCCTGGATCCTGGCTTCGGACTGGTGCAGCACTAGCCGTCGCGGCTCACTTGGGGAGTGAATCATCGGACGGAAGATCTTCCTTTCTGTCTCTCCCCGTCTCTGTATATCTGACTTTCCAATAAATAAGTAAATATTTTAAAAAGATTTATTTTATTTTCATTACATGTGACCACAACGGGCCAGTGCTGCGCCGATCCGAAGCCAGGAATTGGGAACCTCCTTTGGGTCTCCCACATGAGTGCAGGGTCCCAAAACTTCAGGCCATCCTCAACTGCTTTCCCAGGCCACAAGCAGGAAGCTGGATGGGAAGTAGAGCAGCTGGGACTTGAACCAGCATCCAAATGGGATGCCTGTGCTTTGAGGTCGAATATTAGCCAACTGAGCCTACACACTGGCACCCCTTATTTATTGAAGGGCAGGGGCCAAGTATGGCCCCTAGAGCTTCAGATAAAACATCTGGGTCGGGTGTCTCTCCCCACTCCCCTGCCGTCCGGCTTCCTTTCTGGAGGTGCCTTCTCCTTCCCTCCTCACCTGGTCCCTTTGCAAATAAATTTTTCTGTCTGCAACAGATTCCTGGCTTTTTATTTCTACACTAAGCTGAGGAAAGAACCCACTGGGCATTTTTGGTAACATATTTTCCCTTGCGCCCAATGTGGGGCATGAAAAAAAAAGAGACTTAGACGGGAGCCACGTGGCCCAACTCAACCAAGAGGACTTCACAAGTGGTTTTCAGACTCCAGGTGGTCTTGAACATGCAAACTTGTATGGTGACCAGACCAACTTCTGCTACAGCAACTTGGATGACCTGGACCATCTCTCTGTGGATCCCACACCTCCTGGGGCCCCTTACAACATCCTGTTTCAGCACGAAGCAGCCAGAAGACATCCGTGGCCCTTTACCCCTACAGAAGTAGGATGTGGGATTTCAAGAGGGGTGTCCGAGACCATCCAGGCCTGCTGAGGTCTTGGCCACACCTTCAGGTGGGCAACACCAATATTGCCCACCCATTTCCTAACTGGTTGAAAGAGACCACCAATGGGGAACATCTTACCTGTAGGTTCCCACCCAACAAGGACCTTCCTCAAACCTTTGGTGTCTCTCTCCCTCTCCCCTTTTGAGAGGCACCCCACCTCCTGGCTTTCTCTCTGGAGGTACCTTCCCCTTCCCTGCTTACCTGGTCCCTTCGCAAATAAACTTTTCTGTCTGCAGCAGAAAAAAAAAAAAAAAAAATCTGGGTCTCCCAGATAAAGTTCCAAGCTCCCTGGATAGTGTGGCCATGTGTGGTGCCAACCAATGCGCATGAGACCTGCCACTGTCCTTCAGGGCAAGAACGGCAGAGGGATGCTCATAGAGCCCACACAGGCTGGCATCAGCCCAGATCCAGGGGCCAGGGCTCCATTCACAGGTGCCGCGCAGCTGGCAGATGCCCCAGCGTGTGGACCCATTTGCTCGCTCCAAGGCAACATCAGTAGGAAGCTGGAATGGCAAGGTGTAATGGCATGCGGGCACCACAGGTGGTGGTGCCTTAGTCTGGGGGCCATGACACCTGCTCTGCTCACTCCCAGTCGCTGACAGCACCCTCCATGGAGAGGTCTCCAATCTAAAATCTTCTGAGCAGCTAGCCGAAACTCAAAAATAAAGACAAGCATTAAATATTACGTAAGGTTTTCTTTATTTAAAAGATCATTCACAAAATACCATATCCATAGATTCACTTTCTGTCATAGAGCTGACTGTGTTAAGTGTTTGGAATTCCATTCTGACATTTAAAAGTCATTTGGGCCACCCAGCAGTTTGGATGAATTTGCCTTGTTCTTTATCTTTTCCACATTGAAGATGTAAGTAGGTCATCGGAAAGCTTCGGGTTTGATTACAACCACGCAATGCATGTCTTTCTTAAGTTAAGTGTTGGTGTTACACAAATGGTTCTTATTGGAGAAGCAGGGGGGACAGGAAGAGGAGGAAGAGGAGAGGGAGTTCTGGAAACTGCTGACACCTTGCAACAAAGAGAAGCCAGGGCCGTGCTAGAGCCGGAGCCACCATCTACACACGCTGCCCTGCCCCGCAGCCCGGCCAGCCCCGGCTCCAGCCGCCCCCACGGCGCCTCCCGGCGGCTGGGGACTAACCACCTGTCCCCAGTCCCAGAGCTCCTGCCTTGGCCCAGTCCTGGGGAAATGCCCACACCACACACAGGCATAGGCTGTCTCAGCCTCTACAGCCATCTGCGGACCTCGCCTGCTCTGCAGAGTGGACGCGGTTCTGAACTGAGTGAAGCCCAGGGCGGTGAGCAGCCCGACTTCTCTTTGTCACCTACGCTAGGGCCACAGAGAAGCACAAGGGAGACGCACACGCAGGGACCCGGGGTCTGGGGAAGGCCTCGTGGGCACAACTGCCCTGGGAGCACAGGGTGCCCCTATTTCCACACCGCTCTTCCTGGCTGTCCCCTCATCATGAGGAGCCCCCACAGTGCCTTCCCCTTAGCTAACAGCTAACGCCCCCTCCGGTGCCCAGCAGTACAACTCCACAGGCAGGTCTGGAGAGTGGCACTGAGGGGCCCCGGCCAGCAGCCAGGAGGCTGGCCGGCATCCAGAATAACCAAAATAAAGAGAAGTAGCCAGGGAGTGGAGGAGCAGCACCTAGCCCAGCCACGCCCACGGGGGGCCGCCCTGGACTCCCCCAGAAAGCCACGTGCTGGCGGGAAGACAAGGGGCGGCAGGGGAGCAGCAAAAGAAAAAGGCATGGGACAGGCACGAGAGCTACAGCAAAGCCAAGAATGTACTAAAAACCACTTGTCAACAGCTGACATGCATCCACAAGCCCCGTGCTTCCAGGGCCGGGAGTGGGGTGCGGGGCGTGGCCGGGGAGCTGCGGGGGCCACCCCCGCCTCTCCTCAGCGCCCCGCCCCAGGTCCCGCCCTCCCTCCCCACAACCCGAGCTCATTCTTGTTCCTTCTGAACCACTTCCTCTCTGGGCCGGGCTCCCCCGAAGATTGCAGAGTTAGGATTGGCGACTTGATTGAGGGGTGTGGCGACTGTCCGAGGTTTAAGCTGGAGCCGCGGTCTCTGTGCTCTTTCCTCTGGGGGAGGAAAATCACAAGGCTTACGAGGCTTGCCCGAGGAGGGGTCCGCCACTCCATGGCCAGCCCGACACCCGGAGCGCCCATCCCGGAGCGCCCGTCCCGGCCACCGCGCGCCTACCTTCTGTAGGTTCTCTGAAATCCATGTTGGGGCCGCGCAGGGGCGGGCCGTCCCTGAAGCGACTCCCCATGGGCGGGCCTGCTCGCCGGTCCCCCGGGCGACTGCCACCCCGGCCTCCTAAGAAGTCATCCCTGTAGCCTGCGGAGAGAGGGGGACGCTGAAGGAAGTGTGCAGGCCCATGCTTCGGGGGTGGGGGCGAGCCTGGGGGAGCCCAGTAGCTGCAAGGTGCCCCACATCAAGCTTCCGCGCTAACAGAACCTCTCAGGGGGAAAAAACCAGCCTGCTGTGAGCTGCACTCAAACCCGGCTTAAAGCCACTCTGGAAAATGCCCTTCCTGGCAGGCTTCAATCAATCTACACGGCTAGGCAAAGGGGCAACATGCAATTCCCAGCTATCAGACAGCACAGCGTGCAAAGCCCTGAGGCAAAGAAATGAAGACAAGGTTAAGGACGTGAAGTCACCACTGGGCGCCACTCCGGATACCCGGCCGTTACCAGTCATTCCACCCACATGGGGCACACAGGGCTGGACAAGGCAGGTGCCTGGAGGTGCGAGGCAAGCCCCCTCCGCGGGCTCATTCCCCACTCCCGCGGGCACCTGCTTCTCAGCAGACACTGCATCTCGCAGTTCCCAGACCTCCATGAGGTGGGGGCATCCAGCCAGCTCACCGCGTGTTCAAAGGTGCCTGTGTTTACCCATTCCCAGAGGGACCCTGAGCCCTGGGGAACTATCTTTACCACGTGCTTGTCCCAACCAGCCAGAATGCCCTATTCACACACACACGCCTACCACCTAGAAAACACAGGGCGTACCCAAGGGGCTGCACTGCAATGAGGGCACAGGCTCCTAGCCAAGGGCAGAGGGAGGCACCGTCTCTGCCTTCCCCACGGAGCAGAGCCAGCCATTTTGGTCTGCTGGAGCAGTGGCTCCGTGTCCTACAGCAGCTCCACTACAAGTCAGCAACGGAACTGACTTGCGTGCAAGGACTCCAATCAAGGTGTCCGACACCCAGTTCTGGGACTGAGGGTGTGGGGGGGCTCAGCTGAGCCCATCCTGGAGGAGTCAGTGCTCCATACACCCAGACCCTCTTAGATGCTCAGAGCCAAGCACAAGGCCCCGGCCGAGGTCTTCTCATCGCCAACACTACAGACCTGCCAACATGGAACCCCACATGTTCCCACAAGTCTGCTAAGAGGCACTGGGCATGGCGGCTGCGGAACTTGTCTTCCAGAGATGGAACAATCCCGGCGAGCAGCATTTTAGCCTGAAGCTCTCTGCACACACCCGCATGGTGAGGCAAATCAACACGGTTCTGGCTGCTTTGCTCTGCCAGGCGTGCGATGGGGCCAAGAGGCAAGCTGGCACACAGGACAGGCCCGGGCTCAGGCTGCCTGCAAAGCCTCATCTGAACAAGCCATGGCAGAGCCAAGCTCCAGGCAGCTGTGCCTGAAGGAAGGACTCTTTTAGTTGCTTGCTTCTTTGTAGCTTTCCTTGTTGCTCAGTTCTTCCTACCTATCTAAGTGTGTCACTTTTAAAACCTGCATCACTCTAAAGGGTGAACGTGCGTGACTCATTCCTGCAAACGGTGCATACAACACCTGGTTACCAACAAGCACATCAATCCTGCAGTTCACACGCGCTCTGGGGAGGAGGGAGGGTGAGGCGGCGACTTGGGCTGTGGCCACTGTCACCGTCTGGCCACACAGCCCCGGCTGAGCCCACGGCAGCATGGTGCGTGGGAAACGCCCATGTCCCTGGAGCTTGGAACTGCCATGCTGTTTCTATGGCACCCACGACCCCACAAGTGGCAGCAGGTCACCTGCCTGTGGCAGAGACCAGCTTATGTGTGACACTACAGGCTTACCGGCTACCATGCCCTTTTAGGGACAAGCTGCCTTCTGATTGGCTAGAGGACATTTCAATCAACCAACAGGGCGAGTCCTGTTATTAGCTAGATCAGTGCCAAAAAGAACTGTAGAAAATTCCAGACTCTGAAATGAGGAAGATGACAGTCTGTGGGAGTATGGATGTTCCCATCTGACACAGGGCAAGTAGCCCTTGTCCAAACTGTGCCGGACCAGAAGGGATTAGATTCTGGAATATCGGCAAATATTTGCATGATGAGTCATCTTAGTATGTGACTCAAGCCTAAAGAAGAGCTTGCTGGACGCACGTACACCTTGCAGATGCAGCCTACAGAGGGCCTGCGTTCGCGGGAGGGCGTGCTGGGGGGCTGCTGCCCGTGGCACCAGGACTGAGGGTGCGCAGCCTGGGCTGCCGAGGGAGAGCCAACCACTCCCATTTGTGAGCAAGGAACCGAGCAGAAAAGTTTACTTCTTTTACTTGGAAGTCAGAGTTAGAGAGAGAGAGAAGGAAAAACTAGAGATCGCCCATCTGCTAGTTCACCCTCCAAAATGCCACAATAGCCAAGATTTAGTTGGTCCAAAGCTCGGAGCCAGGTCAGGTCTCTCACGTGGGTGGCTGCAGGGTCCCCAGGCCTTGGGACATCCTCTACTGCTTTCCTAGGCCATTAGCAAGGAGCTGGATGGAAAGTGAAGCAGCCAGGACTCAAACCGATGCACACATGGGATGCCGGTGCCACCGGTGCGAGGAGCAGCTTGCTGCACCAGTACACGGGCTCCTGGAATTGATGTGCTCATCACGTGTATGAATTATTTTCATGATGGAAAGGGCCGGTGTTATGGGGCGGCAGGTTAAGCCTCCATGTGTTACAGCAGCATTCCACTACAGACACCAGCTGGAGTTCCAGCTGCTGCGTGTCAGCCTTGACTCCCTGCTGATGGCTGGGAAAGTGCTGGAAGCCAGTCCCAGCAGCTGGGCCCAAGCCACCCGCGTGCAGGACCTGGACAGAGTTCCCATTTCCAGCTTCTGGCTTTCGCCTGATTCTACCTTGGCCGCTGTGGCCAACTGGGGCGTGGACCAGGGAAGGAACATCAATGTCCCTGGCCTCTCCCTCCCTGTATCCCCTTGTCTTTCCAGTAAGAAAGAAAAGCAGAAAGAGAGGTAAAGAAACGCATGGCAGAGGCCTGGCAGGCAAAGTGACCCCTGAATGGGGCCATCACTGGTGGTAAGCTGGGCTGCGTTCACCTGTCCCGGAGCGACCGGGCTCCCCACTCCTCATGGGCAAAAGGCCTCCAGGACCACTCTTGACCAGATAGGAAGGAGTCCCAGTGAAGAAGCTTCTAGAACCTCCACACTTTTTCTAGAAGTACCTGTTACCTCTTTCTACCACATACAAAAACACTGACAAGCATGCCTGATTAGTGGAGCCTGAGGAAGAGTGCTGGGTGGGCTTAAGGCCTGGGCCTGGCAGGCACTAGCACGAGGTGACAGCGCATGGTGCCCAGGACACAGGCTTTCTTGTTTTGCTTGCCTGCATGCTGCCAAGGGAAGCCACAGCTGTGAAAGGCACAGAGGAAGCAGCGCAGTCAGGCCACCAGAGATGGGGTGTGCAGAGACACTTCCAGGGTTGCACTGTGACCTGGCCGACACACACGTATGGTCGGCCCAGGTGTGATGGGAACCCGAGGAAACCTGCGCAGTGGCCCCGGGGTCATGGCGACAGCAGCAGTGGTTATTTCAGCGGTCCCCTGTCCCCCCTCCCCCCAGCTTTGGCAGGGCCAGTCACCTCTGTCATCTGGTCCACCTTTTCTGAATCCAAAACCACCTTTGTCTTGTTTTCTGCCTTCGGCGATATCCACACGAAGTGACCGATCGCCCAACAGCTAGTGTGACAAGAGGAGAAAAGTTATCAGTACGAGTGGGCAAGCCAAGCGAACAGGCCAGCTAACAGGACAGAAAGCCTGGGCCACTTACTGCACCGTCATACGTCAGAGCTTCCTTAAGGGAGTCCACTTCATCGAATTCTACATAGCAGAATCCTGGAAGAGAAAACAGAAGCCCGGGCGCCTGGGTTAGGCCAGGCCGGCCACGGGAGCGCATGCGTGCCGCTGCCCCATCACAGATGCCCTTTCAGGGGTACTCAGCCTGGCTGACCCCATGTGCCTGGTGAGGGACCAGACCTTAGGGTTGTGGCTCCCTCTCGGGGTCCTCCTGGCTAGGCCCACCCATTACACAGGTGCCGAGGGCGGCCTCTTCTCAACAAGCCTTTCGTGCCTGGCCACCCACCTTCCCTTGGCACAAAATCTGCCTGGGATTACGACAGAGTGGAGCTGGCTTCTGGGTTAATCTAACTTGAGGAAAGGATCTCAGAGAGCTTGGGTTTGAAAAGGGCTAAAGCATCTCTAAACTTGCTCCTTGGAGAGCTGATCCTAAAATTTGTCCCACAGAGCTAAGTATTACAGTGCCAGCATCTAGTGCAATCTTCCTTGGGTGTTCATGAAAACACAAGCCTAGATCCACGTGTGCGTTACTGCCACCCTGTGGCTGGGCTGGCCTTGCCCCCTCACTGCCGCCTGAAGTTCAAGCCTGCGTAAGTAGTACTGCCATGCCCTGGTTCCCACTGGTGTGTCCTTGCCTTATGCACCTTTAAAGCCCAGCAGACTGCAAGGCCTTTTCAGGGCTGGAACCCAGACTTCTGCTCCCACCTGTGTGAAGGTGGAGCTGCCCTGGCTGCAGACCGACTCCCACCCCAGGCTGAATCGGCGAGGACAGCAATTGAAAAAATGACGTTCAAATTCAGAGTGGCCCCAGACATGCAAAGCTGAGGAGGACACTTGGAGTACGATGCCGAAACCTGTGGCTGCTGGCCCAGCCCGAGGCTGGCTCAGCCCCAGATGGCCCCGAGTCCCCTGAGTCTCCCGAGTCTCCCCCTCATGTCACAGCTCCTGCAGCATCACAGGCCACTTCAAGCAGCCAGCCCCTCCTCTGCATGCTCTCAGGGGTGGACAGCCGGGACCTTACTGGCTCTCCAGGCAGCCAATCGCTGATGCAGGCCACAACTCTTGACCAATCAGCACAGTGTGAAGCACTGTGACGTGAAGAGCCGAGATGAAACGTTCAGCTGCACCAGCACTGACCACGCAGACAGTGCCCCCCATCACATGTGCGTGTCCACCTGCACTCCCCTATACCCACCCCCACCCCTTTAACTTGGAGCAGTACGATAGATTGCTGACCCCCAAACTCACCTTTAAACTTGTCTGTGTCTTTGTCTCTGACTAGCCGTACACTCCTTATGCTGAGATCCTTAAAGATAGCGTCTATGTCACCCTGCACCGTGTTAAAAGGTAGATTTCCTACATACGCTGTGTAGGGTGGCTCTGTGGGCAGCTCCTTCTGGCTACGGGACCCATGGCCTCCAGCACTGCCGCGGGACCTAGGAGGGGACAGGGACAGGATTCAGTCTGACAGTCGGTGTCTTCCACTCAGTACACCAGCACAGCACCCAGGCCTAATGTCCGGTGACACTCTCACCACGTGATTGAACTGTAGGCTACCCCGCATGTCTGGGGGAGGAGGGGTCCTGTTGGCGGGGAGAAAGGGGCAGAAAGGTCTACAGCAATGCATAACACATGGAAACATCATACAGTATGCCTGCCTAAGACACCCAGCCGAGCCCAGGTCTGCAGGGCCTGCACACCTTGCACCTAAGCCTTCTCCTCCATGTGCCACTCCGGGAGCCACAGAGCACTGCATCCTCCATGCTTTCCGGGTCAGGAGGATGCTCGCACTCATGCCATGCATGCAGCAGGGCCACAGGCATCCTAGATCCTGCTCTCTGTGCCCCATGCATCTGCAGCTGTCATGGACCCACTTACACTATGATGTGTTACTGCACTCACCTGCTGTGCGGGGCCTGGGTTTATGGATCCCTAGCCACTCCACCTTGTCAGGCTGTAAGACCAACACAGCCCCTGCACTCCTGAAAGCTAACAACTTCCAGGCGCACACACACACAGCCCGAGGCAGGGCGCATCCGTACAGTGAGGATGGCTATTGCCTGACCTATAACATACTAGTCTAAAAAAAGAAAGTTAACGTAACTGAAACAAAACTAAAACAAACAAAAAACAAACCCAAGACCATCACTGGACATTTGTGCAAACCCAGGCCTGGGAGTGGGTCCCCCGTATTGGGCAGCAGGGTCCCAGGGACACTGGCCTGTGTAGATGGGCTCAGGGCTGACAGGAAATGCGGCACACGGGAGGGTTGTTCTTTCTGCCTCATTCGCCTGGGAACCCGTATGGCTCTAAAAATAACATTGAAGCCAACAGGCAAGCAAGCAAACACACAAACAGAGCGTTAACTGCACTGCGCGAGCCACCCACACAGCTCGCACACGCGGCCTGAACCAGAGGCAAATAGTTTGGGGGCAACAAGATCTTCAAGTGCCCCTCAGTGATCACCCTACGAATGACTTATCATAGAAGACCTACCAGGTCTGACAGGTGCCAGCTTCACCAGTAACTAGACAAACTGCTTCCCAGTTTCCACGGAGGTTCCAAACATATCTGGGGCAGGAAAGACCGAAGCAACAGAGGGACGAGCAGACGTGACAACTAAGGCTTTGTGACACAGCTGACAAACATAAGTAAGGTGGCCCACATGTGGACACTACTGTTGGCCAGGTTAACTCAACATTGCAATGCAGCTGGTTAAACTACCATCTGTGTGAGACCCCATCCCATAAGCACTGGTTCAAGTCCTGGCTGCTCCACTTCTCATCCAGCTTCCTGCTAATGTGCCTGGGAACACAGCATGATGGCTGGAGCACTGGGCCCACCACTCGGTGGGAGACCCAGATGGAATTTCATGCTCTTGCATTCCACCTGGCTCAGCCACTTGGGGAGTGAATCAGTGGATGAATGATCTCTTTCTATGTCAACCTCTCTCCCTCTGTCACTCTGTCTTTGAAATAAACAAATGTTGAAGGAAAAAAAAATAGTTGAGTGAAATGTTGAGAGTCAACATTTCCTTTCTAATGGGTCAAGGTCAAGAACTTACATGCAGGGCCTGGTGCAACAGCATAATGGTTAAGGTCCTCGCCTTGAATGTACCGGGATCCCATATGGGTGCCAGTTCTAATCCCGGCAGCTCCACTTCCTATCCAGCTTCCTGCCTGTGGCCTGGGAAAGCAGTGGGGAGGATGGTCCAAAGCCTTGGGACCCTGCACCTGTGTGGGAGATCTGGAAGAAGTTCCTGGCTCCAGATAGGCTCAGCCCCAGCCATTGCAGCCATTTGAGAAGTGAACTAGCAGATGGAAGATCTTTCTCTGCCTCTCCAGAGGTCTTGCCAACAAAAACCAACCAACCTTAAAAAAAAATCAGGATGTTAAACTTCTGAATAGTAGTGCACTCTGTTTAAAAACCAGTGAGCACTCACCACCCTCTGTGTTAACAGCTGACCGCTGGCCTGAGCAGCAGCTCTCCGCTATCCTTAGCAGCACTGCACGTGGCCATGCCACGTGGGTCTAATGTTGGTGTCTGGGGGCACACAGCAGTCTTCCTCATTCATGGGGACTGGGCCCCAAGACCCACCGAGGAGCCACAAGCAGCCAGCGCAAGGCCTTGTATAAGCTGTGTTCCTCCCCATACACTCACACCTCTGATGAGTCTATCCATCAGGCTGCGTGAGAGATGAGCAAGCCACGAGTGCAAGAGCCTGACAATGAGCTGCTAGGAGTTCCATGAGCACAGTTCCGCAGAAGCTCTGGGCTGTGCTCAATGCCAGCAGGCTCCAGGAGGCAGAAGGGCAGCGGGGTGAAGACGGGTTGCTGGGCAAGGCCAGGAGGTGTCCCCAGCCAGCACGTGGGTAGGCGGGTCTGGCAAAGGGAGGATTCAAGGCCCAGCAAAGTCTCACACTGGGAAGGGCTCATCAGGCTACTCGGAACGCCTTATCGTTTCAAATGCACTGTTTTTGGAATTTTCCGTTTCTCATTTCAGATGGCAGATCTGAAAGCCTAGAGAATCAGGCCCTCCTGTTAGGTGTGTTGGAGAACTCCAGTGCATGCAAAAAAGCTAAATAAAATAATAATAATAATAATAATAAAAAGGAGGCGAGATCAAGAAAGAGATGAGATGGCTGCTGGGTGTCTGCAAGGACAGTAGAGGCAGGGAGGGAGGCTTGTCAGTGACCGCATGGGGACTTCCGGAGGGTGACGAATGCAGGCCTGGACAGCTCAGGCCACCTCCGCCTGAGGACAGGAGGCAGCTGAGTGATGCTTTTAAGATGATGGGAGCTTAGAAAAATGCAGGGCACAGCGGTGGCTCTGGTTGTAGGGAAGACAGAAAGATCTGGTTCTGGCAGTTTTTGAAGTGAGCTCAACATCCGGAGGAATCGCCCAGCAGCCACCTGGTGACGTCATCCTGGAGCCTGGAGGCCACCCGCCACCAGTCGGCCTGCTGCAGTCAGCCCCATGGATTGCTCCTGGGGTCACGAGGGCAGTGGGGAGTGCCTTCCAGGAGAGCTGGTGTGTTTCTATGTACTGGCACCCCAAGATACCCCATGGGGACACACATAAGAGGACGGCACAATTCTTTCCCCCGCCCATCATTTCAATCCCTGAGACACAGCTGGCAGCAGATTTAAGCCCAGGGGTGAGGGTGGGGATGAACTACCACTGCAACACACACACAGCATTACACTGCACTACTTGCCTGCTTGGTTTTTAGCTTGCTCACAGACTCCCATGAGGAGCAGGTGCCCGAGGACTTGAACCATCCTCCACTGCTTTCCCAGGTCACATGCAGGGAACTGGGTTGGAAGTGGAGCAGAGGGACTCCGTGCTGCTGGGGATGCTGGAGCCACACAGACAGAGGCTTAGCCTGCGGTGTCAGCGCCCAGCTCCCGCTGCTGCTTGCTTAACCGGCTAGCAGAGATCCCCTTCCTGTGTTAGTGCACCACGGGCACACTGCACCTCGGTTTTCACGTCCGCTGTTTTATAAATATTTCACATCCTGGCTTTATAAACAGGTTTAATTGACTATAAAAAAAAGTTCTTCAAAAACCACTGCGTGCCATATAAAAGCTTAATGACAATTCCCAAATGATCACGGGCACACAGAACATGCTTGAGGCTACACTGAGCAGCATCTCAGGGGCTGGCAAACAGGAATCAGGGGCACATGGAGCTGGGGCAGGGGTGGGCACGGGCCCTTCCCCGCCTGCATCACAGCCAGTCCCCGCCTGCATCACCTGCCTGCCCCCGTCGGCAGCTCCCCCCAACCCCTGCTTCTCAAAGTGTCCAAGTTTTTACAGCCGCAAATTATACTCAGGAAGATTTAGGAGGTGCAACTTTGAGCTCCAAGTGCGATCCTTATCTTAAGAGGACACAAAGCCCTTCTCTTTGCTCACCTCCACCCAAGTCAGAATGCTCAACCCATGCTAAAACAGGCACGAAGCCCAGACCGCCTTCCTGCCTCCAGGGAAGCTTTAGGCCTGAGGACAGTAGACAGGAGCAGAAGCCACCAGGCTCCGGGGAGGCACTGTGAACTGATTCCGTAGGGTGGGGTGCCTGGGGCCGGCAGCCACAGGAACCCAGTCAGCAGGCAACAGGACACCAGGGCAAAGGGAGAGGAGAGAGAGGGCGGGGCCTACAGGAGAGCGTGGATGATGGAGGTGGGAGTTTGTTCAGTAAGCAGGTGAAACCAACCTGCAGTGTCCCAGACTCCCAAAGTGGCAGAGACAGGAAGGAAGGAAGGACATCTGCTGAATTCTCCCGGGACAGGATTTTACAAATTTCCAGGGGAATGACACACGACCGAGCTGAAGCGCATCAACTCAAGACAACAGCAAAGAGGTGTGTGGTGGCTCAATAGGCTAGTCCTCTGGGCTGCAGCCCCGCTTCCCATCCAGCTCCCCGCTTTGGACTGGCGCAGCTACAGCCGTTACAGCTGCTTGGGGAGTGAACCAGCAGACGGAAGATATTCCTCTCTGTCTCTCCTCCTCTCTGCCTTTCCAATAAAAATAAATCTTAAAAAAAAAAAAAGTCGGGCCCGGCGCGGTGGCGCAAGTGGTTAAAGGTCCTCGCCTTGCACGCCCGGGATCCCATATGGGCGCCGGTTCTAATCCCGGCAGCCCCGCTTCCCTTCCAGCTCCCTGCCTGTGGCCTGGGAAAGCAGCAGAGGACGGCCCAAAGCTTTGGGAACCTGCACCCGCGTGGGAGACCCGGAAGAGGCTCCTGGCTTCGGATCGGCATAGCATCGGCCCGTTGCGCTCACTTGGGGAGTGAATCATCGGACGGAAGATCTTCCTCTCTGTCTCTCCTCTGTGTATAGCCGCCTTTCCAATGAAAAAATAATAAAAATAAATCTTTAAAAAAAAAAAAAAAAAAAAAGTAGTCCTCAACCCTGTGGCACCACATTCCATATGGGCACC